TCTTTGTGCAAATATCCAAAACCCTTGATCCAATTTCAAACTTTCACAGTTAGATCAAATAGAGAAGTTCAACAGGAACATCCCTGCAAAAATAAGACTGTATTGGCAATGAAAATCAGAAGAGAGAATAATTCTCCTTTGCTAACATGGGATAGGAAGGAGCAGGGAGACAGAGATTTAGACTTAGGTTTTGCTAATCCAAAAACCTGGTAATCAGATCCCACTTCAAATGTCCATCTTGTACCAAATACTGTTATTTCCCTTTAAGCCCTAGAACTATGTAGTCACACATTCTGAGGCTAGGAATTTGTTTCCTAGCCTCAGATAAACCCATCAGCTCAGGTCCCTTTTGTCCTGTTTTGATTCCAAACTCTTCTTCTGACTACCCCTCAATTTGAGAAGAAAAAAAATGTAATGGTTTCCATTGTTCAACTGGGGGTCAGTGCATTTATCTACTTTAGACTTTAACAATGTTATGGCATCTTAAAGTCTCATATCATTGTTATTAAGGAACAAACACTCTTTTAGAGTTTGTGGTGCTTATATTTTAATAATGTTCTTAGCCTTGAAAGCATCACAAGATTCTGCTCATCCTCTTGAGGAAGATCCCATGCCTTCCTGTTTCCTTTCTGCTCTCCCTGGTTTTACAGTCCAAATAAATTTCCCTTCTGCTCCATCCAGGTGAGCTTCTTGCACAATAACCCAGTTTTTAATATCTGACCATAGCATATGCCTCTGAATCTCAGATTGGAAATTAGGTAGCTATCTCTGGAAGATTCTTTTTTTCAAAAATATAAACTGGGACCACCCAATTAAATTCATCCATTTTACTTCCTCTTATACTCACATTTTGTGTAAAGGTTTAATAGAATTACCAACAACATTTACTCAGAAATAAGGTTAATTGGCTACAGAGGGACTTCCAGCAAACTGAGTGAAGGAAATAAACCTCACTCTCCCAGTTGAAAATCATAGGACTTACAGCAGACATCTAGGCACATCTACTAGGAGACAGGACTTACTGAGCACAATAGGATCAATCCCCAGTGAATCTGTATTGGGTTACAGCATTAAAGTGCTTAACAGGCCTAAGATGAAATACATTTCACTCAGAAGGGAAGTAAGACCCATTGATTTTACAGAGGAAAATTTCAATCTATCAGCGTTTACTTGGGATAAATTTCTTTTGTAGAATAGGGATTGCTTCCAAACCATTAGAAATATTTTCTGCCCCCATCTATGTTTAAGCTTCAAGCCTAGTTTCAACTGAAATATGAAAATGTAAAACTAGTTTTCATTTCAACTGGCTTCAGATTTATTGAGGAAGTCACATCAAATGTGTGTGTGATTACAAAACTATTGATGCATTTTACAATGTTTAGCATGTGTGTAACATATCTTCTACTGTACTATTTCTTAAGTTGCTAACGTGTAAAGTGCATGATGCAAGTATTTGATAACTGCAGTGTCTGAAAATGAGATAAGCTTCTCAAAAATGAACGTGTAAATGGTGTTTTCACTCTAGATCATTGTTTAAATATAGAACAGAAACAGTCTAAACTTTGGACTATAAGACTGAAATCTGTGCCTTTCCAACTTTTGGGACAATAGCAGCAACTGATCTTTGATACATATACAGAATCTAGTTCATTGTGAAGGAGAGTGCCTCATTCTACCCCATGGAACTTGGAGATAGTTGAAGGGAGATTCAGAAATATTTGCAGCACGTCCAACATTTGTAAGACAAGATGTTACAGTTGACTGATGATCCTTGTGATGCAATGCTACCCAGGCTTATTCAAAAAGGAATGCAGCTGTGTTTCATGGGATTTACTGTTAGATCAGGGCAGCCTGAGGAGAGTCCAAAGTTGGACAAATAATTGCAGTGTGCAGCCAGGGAAAAGATCTGAAAGTTCTCTAGAGACCATTTAGATGGAAACGGGCTGGGCATAGCAAACAGGAAGGGAAAAAGAATCTCTGCTTACAAAATGCAGCTTTCCTGTAATAAACATGGCATCAGAGAGATCACTTAATATATATATAGTTGTGGCTTTATATTGACTTGTTTGCTTTCCTCCCTGTTTGTCTACCCAGGTCTGGTTTCAGAACAGAAGAGCTAAATGCAGAAAGCAAGAAAACCAGCTCCATAAAGGTAGGTATGTGAAATGGAGCCAAAGGGGCCTTTGCCATAGACATGCCTTCTTTAATTACCGAGCTCTTGAGTGTCCTGCTTGGTTTGGGTGCTATAATCTCTGTTGAACGTACCTAGCATTGCAACTTTCTACACATTTATCAGCCTGATTTCTTGGGATACAAGGGGACTTCCTTCGGTGCAAAAGTACATAGGATGGTGCCACTTGGGATAGCATCAAGAGGAGCAGGGAAGCTATTTGCCCAGGATCATGGGGATGGAGGCACACAGGAAAAGTCCTTTTTGTCTTGTACCTGAGCCCAAATGGCCTAAATGCAGGCACTAATCGTTTTAGCTTCATATTGTCAAGTTCTGCTTCTCTCTCCCTATTATGGCTGGGAGAGTCTAAGGATAAAAGTGGACCTTGATTCAATTCTTGTTTGTTTCAGGGGTCCTCATTGGAGCAGCAAGCCAGTTTGAAGCATGCCGAGTTGCTCCCTACGTGAATGTTGGTGCTTTGCGGATGCCTTTCCAGCAGGCAAGTAGAAGGGCCAGCCAGGGGCATCTCTCGAGACCAAGGGGCCACCAGTAACTCCCATTCCTTTCCTGTAGTTCCCTCCATCTTGCTTTTTGGAGACAGAAGCCCTGGACACTTTTTTTTTCTGCTGAAAGAAAATTTCCTTCTGCAGGGGGAAGGAAGGGAGAGTTGTAGTCTTCCTTGTAATCATGGAAGATCTGCAGATCATTCCAATCTTCTGCATGACCTTATTGAAACCATCATCATTTAATTGCCCTGCCAGAGTGCTCAGGTTTGCTGTGGAAAGCTCTTGAAATGAAAAAAAGAAAGCTTTTCTCCCTGCTTTGATTTTGCTAGGATCCAGTTCTCGTGGCTGTAATCTCAAGGAACCAGGGTGCTGGATTGGAATAGAGCAATCAGCGGTCTGGAAAGATGCCATAATTGGCAAGCCCATTCAGGACATAAGCCTGATATCCAAGACCATTTTTATCCATATTACCTGGAGAAGGTTGCATTATCTGTTCAATGAAGTTTTACTTGCAGATAACTATGGAGAGAAACAATCTCTGTGTGAACCAGGCATGTTTAATTAGATAAAGTCCCATGAATTTAATGCAGTGAAGCTAGTAAGGCCAATTAGAAAGGCAATCTTTGATGCAGCCACAGAGTGCTCACCCCAAAGAATTGAGTTTTGCTATTCTCATTGGATACAACGATAGGCATCAAGACTGAATACGAATATCCTAATTTTGGTACAATGATCTTTAAACAAAAAATAATAATATCACAACTGACATAGCTCTACAAAGAGAATTCCATTTTAAGTAGTTTAATTTATATGCTTGCTGTCTACTAAAAATAGTGTTCAGTGTGCTTTTTAAAAGCCGATATACTTTTTTTCTTGGTAATTCCCTTTTAAACAATCTATGATTGGTGAATGAAGGCAAGCCTGACGACTCTGTTTCTAAACATGTTGGGCTCTTGCCCAGCCTAGTTGAACATCTTAAGACATTGATTTCTGGGGCTTCTATCTCTAAATCATGGCCATTACTTGGAAAAAAACTCTAGTTGATTTCAAGGGGATTTATAATGGATGTATTAGAAATAGCATCTTGGAGCCATAAAGCCAGAAGGTTTTTAATGACTTGTGCTCAGTCCAAACGAAACTTGTCCTCCTCAGGCTTGCTGCTAGTAATGGTATATTCTATAATGCCCACCCATTAAATAATTGTGGACAGATCATTCTTTTCAAACCTTTGTTCAGCCTTTCCTAACCTGGCACCCCCTAAATGTGATGGGACTACATTTCCCAGAATTCCCAATCAGCACCGGTAGCTCAGTCCTGGTGGGAATTCTGCTAGTCATAGATTGAACAGACCAGTCAGTACAAAGCTAGAAAAAACAGCCATATCTCAATATACATGAAATTCAATGCTTTTTAATTTTTTTATTGAATATACATAGATTTTAATTTCAGGCCTTTTGTATAGGATTAAATGTTCTTAGTTGCATCCAAAAGAAAAACTATACAAAAAAGATAGCTGGTATCCATGATAGTCATAACAGCACAGCAAACCTCTTTAAAGCTCCAAACAGTTATAAGTTAGAATCTGAGTAAACCATACTTTTATAAAATTCAAGCAAAATGATGACTGAGAACCATAAATATCTACAGCCTTTACAGAACTCAAGAGAAAAGGGAAGAGATAAAAATATAGTGTTGAGACTTGTACCTACCTGCTTGATGCACTTTAGGGTTGCAGTACTCAATAATATTGCCTAAATATTGCCATAATAATTATGAATTAAGAATTAGCAGGACACATATATAATGTTCCCATGTTAAACAAAAGTACTTTGAAAAAACAAGCAAATTCAGAATGGATAGACATAATTCCCATCAAGCATATTTATTAGAACCAGAAGCCTAAAGTTCAATAGCTAAGAAGACAATCAACTATATTTTAGTCAATTTGCTAACCATAACTCCTTATGGTTAGCTAAGTAGCACGTATACCATTTGGCAGCTGCCACAGAAATAAAACAGTAAAAGTCCCGGAAGCTCTAAACCAACATTTTTGTGCTTAATATGTGTAATGAACATATATAAGCAGACAGACCAGTCAATCAATGCAAGATGCAGCAAACCCATCAGCAGAAGAAACCAATCAATGAACCAATGCATTTCTGAGTTCAGGCAGTCAGTGTTCCTGTGTACATCCTGCATCTTGGATAATAGGAAAAGATGAGACCTACACATCAAAAAAAACATTTAAAGCTTTCTTATCATCTCAAAAACCCACCCACCACTACACATAATATTAAACAAGGTTCAGGTATGGCTCTGTACTGCTCAGCTTCGAAATAAAAGAGCTGGTTCACCCATACTAGACTAGGATAAAATGAAATTTGTCGTCAACATGTTTGGAGCTTGTGACATTAACCAGACTGTCACATAAAGCTGCCACAAAATTCATTTGATTTGATGTTACATGGGCTAGTAATTTTGTTTTTGCTAATGAGGATTTAGATTTAGTATGATACATAATCCTAGGCAAGAAGAAATGAATAGATTATTTCCTGGCATTAGATCTATTTGAACTCCCCAACCATTTTTATTCTGAAAGTTGAGCTTTTTTCCCTTCTCTTCTTGGCTTATCCTTGACTAGATGATAGTAATTCTAGACTATATACTATCTGTTCATGTCATTTACTCCAGCTAGACAGAAAGCTGTTTTTTGTGGGGCTGTCTTCAAATATTTAGAGCCTGCTCTGCAAAAGCTCAAAACAGCCTTGACCTGTTGTTATGGATGCTATGTACCTGTTTTGAGACTCAGCCAAGTACTGTGAGAGCACTTCTGCAACCTTGCCATTTACTTTAGGTGCTCTCATTGTGCTTTTCCGAATGTGATGACTTGGAGGTTTCATGTTGTGAGTAGCTTGAAGAGTTTGCTAAAACAGATAGATGCAAAGCTGTAAAAGCATCTGCTTAAGAGCAAGCCCCATTAAATGCTGCCTCTTCCAGCTTTGAGGATGTACTAATACAACCTATAAATGTTATACATGCATTACTCAAAAGCAGGGCTTGTATTCAATGGGGCTTAATCCCAATAAAATATGCTTTTGACACCTGATAGCTAATCCCAGGCAAGCTTCTGAACAGAACTTCAACTCTCCTGACCCACCACAACAACATAATTTTTAGGAATTAACTCCTTGCTAGAAAATGTAAATCAGGCATTCTGAACAACTTGTTCAGTGCTTCAGTTACAGATAAAAAGGTGGAATTTTGGAAAGACATTGATTTTTCTCATTTTAATTTGTCCTCTTGTTCTTTCCAAAAACGGGAGAAGGGAAGACGGACAGAAACACTCTTTGCCTTCTCTTCTATATGAAGTCTCAGGTCATCTAAGGCCACAGCATCATTTGTTGGGCCTTGGCTTTCCCTGGTGTGAACTTTGGCCTGATAAATTTGTAAACGGTGCTTAATGAGGCGGCAACCAGGTTTCATTCTGGCCCATGGTTTAATAAACAAACAAAAACACCTGGTTGGGTTCATCCATACTAAGGCATAGCCTAGTTCTTTTGATGGGGCTGAAGGTCACAGTTTACTCAGGACAAGCCCCAACCAAGTCGGCTAACTTCTCCCTTCCCCCCACTTCCCCCAAGGATACCCCCCCCCAGAAGTGGGTGCGAGCGCTGAAGGGTGGGGGAGGGGGCCCGATGGCTGGGCGGTCCGTTAACGCTCTTGTCTTTCTCCATTCTCGTTACACCTTTTAGGATAGTCATTGCAACGTGACGCCCTTGTCCTTTCAGGTGCAGGCACAGTTGCAGCTGGACAGCGCCGTGGCGCACGCGCACCACCACCTCCACCCGCACCTGGCGGCGCACGCGCCCTACATGATGTTCCCGGCCCCGCCCTTCGGCCTGCCGTTGGCCACCCTGGCGGCGGAGTCTGCCTCGGCCGCTTCGGTGGTGGCCGCGGCGGCTGCGGCCAAGACCACCAGCAAGAACTCGAGCATCGCGGACCTCAGACTCAAAGCCAAAAAGCACGCGGCCGCGCTAGGCCTGTGACTCTTCGGGCCCCCCCAGGGGCGCGTGGCGACCCCACCGCGGGCAGCGCGGGGCCCCGCGGGGCAGGCTCTCCGGACCGATGCCCCCGCCACCTTCCCGCGCTCCGCCTTCCGACAGAGACCGACCTCGGCGCCCTCCGGAGCGAGCCCGAGCCCGCGAGCGCCTGCGCGCCTTTCAAACTGAAGGCAGCCTCCAGCCGCCAAGACCCGCAGCGGCCTGAGGGGAGGGTGGGTGAATCCTCCGAGGACGTCGCTTGCTTCTTTGACCGAGGGAGTTGGGGCGAATATTTGCCTTCTGCTCCCGCTGATAAAGCGAGAAGACTTGGGGCGGCGGGCAGCCGGCGACCCCCTCGTAAAACGGAGAGGGGAGCGCGAGGCTTTACTGAGAAAAGAGCTCGAAGAACTGTAGACGCGCAGCTGGGAAGTTCACAGGTTTTGAAACGGACCCTTTTTTCCTGCGAAGTTCACTTTAATGCGAGGAAAGTGGATAAGAGAGGCGGGCCTCCCTTTCACGTTGCAACTGATAAAGCTTGAGTTCGAGCAGCTACAAACTTAGAAGTGGCGATGGGGAGGAAAGATTACAAATGGCGGGAGGGGGAGGAAGAGGGAGGATGAGAAACGGGGGAAAGGAAGACGCGCGGTTCTTTCTCTCCCCCTCCCCCCGCTTTTTTTTTCTTTTCTTTTCTTCCAACGCTAAATTTAAGTCGGAATATTTTGCTAGGACTGTTCCGGGTCTGCATGGGGTTCGGTTAATTATTATTATTATTATTTACTTCTTGGCGTCCCTTGGTTTGCATCGCATCCGAAATCTTGGAGGAGAACGAAATCCGTCAGGGAAAGAAGCACAGCGCGCCGAGTTACGAGAGGTCGGGAAGGGAGACCTCGCAATACAATGCATTGAAGGGGGCGCTCCTGGTCGCCACCGATCTCATCGAAAGCAATGGGCCATGTGTGAGACATCCCCCCCCCCCCCCCCCCGCCCCCATTAGTACTCTAGCCCTAGTCGCTTAAGACTCTTCTGATCTTTGGCTTGGGTTGCTGCAGAGTCTGTCAAAAAAGTCAAAATGGCGGCCGCGACGGCCTAATCGAAGGCCCAACTACCCTCTACAAGTCGCCATTTTGACTTTTTTGACCATATCCTGCAGACAACCGCGCGATACGTTTTATTTATAACACTTATTTTCCAAAAGACATGGCAAAAATGATTTGCCCCATTCCTGTTTTCGGTTCAAACATCCAGCCGCCTCTATAATAAAGGCTGACGGTTACGTTATAAATTTCGGACCCCCTGCCAAGGCTGCCTACATTTTCACTACTTCTCATTGAGACCAACGGGATCCGTGGCCAACAGGTCACACCCCATTGATTTCAATGGGATTTCTATGTAGCTTATTTCTTTGGTGAAGTTTGTTTGGCTGTCGGATTTCTAGTAACCTTGGGTATCTTCCTCCTCTCTTTGCTGTACGGACGGGAAGGGTATCCATGGCCATCCGTGAGGCATTTCATAATGGCAAGGGGGTACGAAGTATATTTTTTAAAAGAAAGTGGTGCACAAAACCAATTTATTTCGGCAATCGTAAATAATTGGTCAGTTGAGTGTTCCGTCAGACCTTTCGACCCGATCTCATAAAGGTGGACCCATTCCCGCAACCTTGTGATGTTACATAATCTATATCCATGTATTTTTTTCTTTTCTGAAGAAATATAAATATAGATATATAAATATATAAATATATATATATATAGCGGTAATCTGAGCGGCCGCGAAGTAGCCGGTCCGTCCGTTCGCTCCAAGCCTCTCTTTTGCCAAGAAAATGAAACCGAGAGGGGAGAGAAAACTCTTTGCCAGTTGAACTCTGCTAGGAACAGAGCTTTATAATTATTTGTTCTCCATGAAAACAAAACAAAACAAAAATTATTTATAATGACCGTATTTTTTCTAGTGTATTTTAAGTTATTGAGGAGGGGGAAAGAAAAAAAAGTGGCCAAGAAGAAACGCTGATATTTTATTTCCGTGTTGTCGGCACGAGAGTTTGTTCCACTCAGGTTTGCTTCGCTTTTATTTGTTCATTGTCGACGTCACAGTTTTCAATAAGTGCCAAGTTATGAATTAAGACACTTTGCAATCTATTGAATGGAAAAAAAATGAGAAAGTAAAATTTTAATTGATGGTTTCGCACAACTTTTGTTCCTGATCCTATTAAATCAATAGTGCCATTCTACCTTTTCAAATTTATTTTTCCCCTTCTTTTATCTTTTTGGGATTCGTGCTTTTCTGTGTGTTTTAAGTGTGTGTTACTTACATACCGATGTTATTTTCTGCAAACTTTAGAGAGTAACCGAATCTGTCAAAGGGAGGTCGGCCTTTCGTCTCCACATATCTTTATATATTCCTGATTTTCAAAATGTGGCTTTCTTCCCGAACTCTTTGGTTGATGTTTTTATCTCCACAGAAAAAAAAAACTATGCTATTTTAACAGCAGAGTTCAACGATTCCTCACGCATTTATAAAAAGCACAATGCAATCCTATTAGTCTCAATTCCGGAAAATAAATCTATGGGTTCCCTTGATAATTTCTTTCTGATACGTAAACTTAGAGCGAAATCTAATTATACTGTAGGATTCGCTTATATGCTTTTCCTTCTGGTTGGAGATGTTGAAAAGTTAGAAAACCCAAGAGGTTCTTTCCGTTAAAGGAATTTTTCCTGGGGGAGGAAGGGCAGAGGGGGGGTTAAATAGTTTATTTTACTTCCACATTTGTTTTCCTTGATCCTAATTACACTGAATGAAACAATCGGGCTCCATTGATTCTGCAGAATGATATCCCACAAACCCGTTATCAATGCGATCCCCGGGGATCTTCCTCATCACTAAATCCTACTGCTTCGATATCATCCCCAGTAAAAGTGGATCGGGTCATCTCCCATAGGAGCAAAAATATGACCAAATTCGCTTTCCTGGAAAAGGGCTTCCCCAACCTTTGATGGGAGGTGTTTTTGCCTGCCAATTTAGGGTTAGGGCAGCTCTCAATCAGATCCGGGGCATAAGGTCTGGTTGCAATTCAGTTACAGTAACCAGATTTCGTTGAAGGGACCCCGGGGGGGAGGGGAATTAATAGCGATCCATGGCGATCGGGATGAAGGCGATTTCTACCAAATACCTGCGCGCTTCGGCAGTAGCCGGGGTCACAAGGCAGGCAAAGCCAAAATCCAATAACTGAATCACGGTTCAGCGTATCGTGTGGGTTCAAACCTCGTGATTATTTCAATAAACCCCGGTGAAACAATGGTGGTTCCGGGATAACTAAGTTGGGCACTGTCAAAATCTCTGCTCTTGGGTAACCAGGGCTCCCTCTTGTACTTCCACGGGGACTTGTAAGGGTTAGTCACTTCGATTGTTCACACTTCTGGGAAGGCGGGGCCGGCATTTCTGAACAACGGGCCAATAATATTTTATTTACCAAATAAGTCTGCTTTCTCGTGGTTGCTAGAGGTTTTCCTGCACGTTATCTCTGGGGTCAAAGCTCTTCAGGGCCTGCCGCGGGAGGAAGCATACCAAAACACCCATCTAGCATCTTCTGCTGCCCATTCACACGTACAGAAAAGGAAGGATTCATGGGCCCGGTCACTCCAAAGTTCCTTGGGCCCCCGCTTGGGCAGCAATCCTAGCCACGTTTCCCTTGGACACACTTAACTTTGGACCCCATGGTCATGTTCATTATAACCCACCATGACTCCCAAGTTGACTGCGACTGTCGATCTCGGGTTGTAGTGCCCATTGACTTAAATCAGCCTGATTTTTCAACGTATCCTGTAGGAAAGACACGCTTGTATACACCAATATACTTCAAACTTGTGGCACAATCCCCATCATTTCTTGACAACTTGGCAGAAGGAATTGTAGCTGGTTACCATTGACAGCTGAAGTCCAAGATAGCCTTGATGTCTGGAAGGTTGAGAAAAATCGGGGCATATATAAGAAATAATATAGTAGTGGTTTGGGACACGAGTTATTTTTCCTAAAAGTAGACAGATTCAAGATTTCATAGGGAGAAGGAAATATGGAATCTTGAACCAATGAGGGATGCATGGACCATCTAGAGCAGGGCTCTCCAACCTTGGCAACTTTAAGCCTGGCGGACTTCAATTCCCAGAATTCCCCAGCCAGCTCTGGGAGTTGAAGTCTGCCAGGCTTAAAGTTGCCAAAGTAGGAGAGCCCTGCTCTAGACAAATTCCAGAAACCGAGCCGGACCCGATTCTGGTGGTTTCTGAATCTCTCCCCTGCTCCCCAACTCCTCCGAAAACACGATGCAGCCTTTGGTTCGCAGAATTGCCACGGTTTTGTTCTTACTTCTCTGTCTGACTTCGTGAGAGGAGAAAGTAGATCCAGGGAAGAAATGGTCTCATCCACTCTTGTGTTCTCTCCTTCCTTGCCCTGCCCTGCCTCACAACTCCTTTGCATTTTTTTTAATAATCTTTCTCATTATCCACCATTTCATTTGGCCACTCAAGCCCCCCTTTCGCAGTCGTTCCCTCTGTCTGATGCTTCTCAAACCCATTGGAAGAGCAAAGCCGTTATTCCTACCCCTGCTAGTCTGTTGGGAGCGGGGCTCTGCCCAAAAAGGGTGACTTGGTGGCGAGGGCGAACCTCCGACTGAGAACCTTGCAGTCCTTCTTCACGTCCAAGTCAGTCTAGATTGGCATGCCTCCATGAACCGCAAACCAGGAAGCGATTTAAATAACGCGTGGGAAAGCCGCCGGAGCGAACTCGCCCTTCGAAGAACGGGACTGTTGTTGATATGGCTGTTGTTGAATCGAGCAAACGCAAGCTTTGTGGGACGCTTATACAATTTTGAAGAAAGAAAACCTACAGCATAAAATGCCAAATAATTAGCACCTGAAACAGCAAAACACCCACGCATGAATATAGCCCCCACCTGTATCTATGTGCACGCCATCCCTCTGTTTGGATGTAACACTGACTTTCAAACGCTGGGCAGT